ATTAGTTACTGCTTGAGGAGATGAATTTTTAAATTATTATTTGGTTTATCACTGTTTGAAATAATCTTTTTTAAAAGGAGCAGATGTAAGAATTGTTTTCTTCTGCTGCTGCTTYTCATTTTATTTTATTTGTATTGTTTTGTTGTGTCAAATTTTTTTAATGAAACAAATAAATAAATGAATACAGACTTTACCAAGTAGAGATTATCATTTCTATGACGATTTTTGGATAATTGCAGAGCAATATCTACTCTAGTATAAACAAAAACTTATCCAAAAACAAATAATTTTTCCAGATATTTTAAAGCTTTTTTTTATTCAGTCACAAAATAACTTAATTTAGAAGGAAGGTGGTTCCGTGTAGACAACTTTGTCACGGATGAGAAATAAGGGCATTGTTTTATAAATAGACACTATTCCAGTGGAAAAATGTGCCACAAACACACTCGTACCAACAAACAGACCTGCGGCAATGAACAAATTAAAGAGAAAAAACAAACAGCTCTGACAACTGACTGACCTTACCATTGAATTAAACTGATAYTTGATAAAAAAGGTTTGGATTGTTATTTATAAAACTCATGAAAGGATCTTAAATGTGTCTTGATGCCTGGCAGGAAGCTCTGATTCAAGAAATTGTTGTGTTTTAACAAAAAGGCACTTAGTGAAATGATTTGAAGTCCTCAAAATAATTAGGCTCCTAATGAAAAAGCACAATGTAGGTTCCCAAACCAACAATATTTCAAACATGTCAAACTCAGGAAATTTGACGGAACCACTCAAAAAAGTGACAGCAGTACCATCATTCCCAGCGTCGGTTGCAAGTGGAGTTTCTGGGCCACGGCGAGGTCTAAACGCACTGTGACACATAACTACAGAACCGTATCACTGACAATAATAGGAACAAGACAACATTACAGTGTGCCACCATCCATTTTATTCTTTCACGGGGTGACTTTATGGCACCTGAGATGTTCTGATTCTGTAACCTGCTTTTAAACAAATATATTTAGTTTGCGTTTAATACAAAAAAAAAAAAACATATCTGTGATGTACTATACCTGTTGCGATTGTTTTCTCTCTGTCAGTTCCTGCTAAAAGGCTGCTTAGAATACTTTTTTCAACCCGTTTTTACATAAAAAAACAGGGAAGCTTTAAAAAAGTGCTGACAGTTCACCATTAAGCTGATATTCACATATTTATTTCACAGTTATGTGAAAACACGGCTGGCAGATTACCAGTGGTGGGCACCAGTCCGCTAAAGCTCAAATTGCAGACCTAAATATGTCAAYTGCTCTTTAGCGGTTTTACTAAWTTTTATATTTCATAAGCGGATTTGCGCTTTCTAAAATTAAAATGCAGGACYGCTAATAACTAACTATCTACCAGTTATCACTAKTTTGAATTTCGCAAAGTTTGGATTWTCATAATTTAAAACAGGAGCTAAACATCATCTGACATTACAGTAAAGACATTCCCTTTAAGAGTTTATTATTTTTCTTGAACAGCAGAGAGGGCTTGCTGTTAGTGACCAACACCATGACAAACAGCACCCCCTCAGACGAATGATAAAATAACACAAAGCTTTATCCTGTGACTAACTGTTCTGCATTATGGTTCTGAAATTGTATATATATACATAATATATATATTTTTTTGTGCATATATATATGTTATGCATATATATATGTTATGCATATATTTTTTACATATTTTACATTGTAGTTTGCCATCATCAGTGTGTGAATGTGAGTGTGAATGGGTGAATGTCTGTTAGTGTAAAGCACTTTGGGGGTCCGGAGGGACTTGAAAAGCGCTCTATAAGTTCAGTACCATTTACCATTTACCATTT